AGAGAGGGAGAGTGCGGTGCATTGTGAAACTAAGCAAAAAGAGCCGGGAGTTGTGTGTGTCCGCGGGAGTAGGAGTTACCCCTGTGAGAACACACCCAGACAAACACACGGGTGTGTTCACGCACATCTTTGCACCCATACACACACGTGTGCACGCACAGAGCCCTGTGACACGTTGGAAAACTGTTTCAAATGCCCGAACACTCAGAACCCTGCTCTCTCCATGTTTTCAAAAACATTTATTTATTTGTGTACTTATTTATTTAAGTTGCGTTACCACCCACGCCCCCTCTGGAAAGAAAAATGTTAAGGCAGCTGAGACTCCTCCATTTAGGCAACTAATTGTAAAATCTATTTTATCGTCCACATATATATATTTTTTAATTCTATGGGCAGAGGAGAGTGTGGTAAGGGCAGTGGGGAAAGGGGGTGGTGAGGGGTTGCCCTATTAAGAAGATGATACAGGAGGAGAATATTTCCGTGAAAGCCGCTTGGAGCGGGGGGAAATGTATAAATTTTATACGGAGATGCTTCTGGGCCCCTCCCTGGTGCAGTCCTCTTGACCTCTTCCTCCCTGCTCCCGATCTCCCGGCCGCCTCCCTCTTCTCCTCCCTGCCTGCGCAGGCTTCTCCTGCCTCCCCCTCTTCCCCCCCTCCCGTGCAGCCCCCAGCCCTCCCCAGGGCCCCCTCCTCAGATGCAATCCCCCTGCTGTAATTTCTGGGGGAATTGCTTCATCTCGGGTGCAGATATATTTATGTCAAGGTGCAGCTGCACAGATAGCCTTCCTCTATGCATAGTAAGAGGGTTTCAGAGAGAGAGGTGGTGCCCAGAGCAAGGCCTTATCAGAGCAAGCTGCCTGCCATTTATCTGATTCCCCATCAAATAGGAAAACGGGCCTCAGGCTGCTGCTTCCACTTTCCTTGGGAAAGCCATGGGGGGAATAATAATTTACTCCAATCTTTTTGTTTCCAGCGCTCACCTTCAGCCTGACACAGCCCAGGGTCTCTCTAGCACCCCCTGCACCCAGCGACGCCGGCCTGGGAGTCCGGGGTTGGGCCCCGGCCCCCAAGGGCCCACCTCGGGACGCCCCCCAGAAATGCCCTTGCTGGTTGAGTGGACCTTCATAATGGATTGGCACGAGCTGGAGGAGATAGCCTTTGGCATCGGGGAGTGTAGACGCAGGGGCAGAGAGGGGGGGACCCAGCGGGGAGTGGGGGAGGCTTGGCCTGGCTGCGGGGGGGAGCCTGGCTCCCTTCCCGGCCCCCACACATAGGCAGATCCCCCACGAACACTCACTGTGTGTGTGTGTGTACACGTGCATGTGTCAGACTTGACCCTCTGAGCGTCCCCGTAGGAGGACCTATCGATGCCTTCATCTGTGCGCGTCCGTCCATCTGGCCATCTGCGTCTGCGGCGGACAGGCCGGGGAGACCGGGGCAGTTTCTGTTCTATGTCACCGACTCTGACCTCCCACCTCAGCTCGCAATTCCAATAGCCACGGACAAGCCCAAGACAGGATGCCAGGGGCTGCCAGCAAGCAGGTGGGCAGTGGGCGAGGGAGGGGTCTGAGCCGCGCCGGGCGGGGGTCCTCTCACCTCACCCTCCCTGGGAGCTTCTTGGGGGGCAGCAGGCAGCCCATCTGGTGCAGGAGCTGTGGAGAGGTGGGCGGTGGGCTGGGGGCCCCTCCCCACAGGCCGGCCGTAAATCACAGGCATGTGACCGGGGGAGGGGGCAGGGCGTGGGTGGGGGGCCAGGGGCCAGCTGCAGCGGCACGCACGGGCCAGGGCAGAGAGGCCAGGGTCAGGTGCAGCTGTAAATTGTCACCTAAATGCTTGCAAGCCAAGGCTAATCAGGGCGCTGTGACAGAACGCACCTGGCCCTACCAGCCCCAGTGGTCGTCACGCTTCTATCTGGGCAAAGCACATACATGCTCGCAGATACAAAAACACACCGGCACACGTTCCGCATGCAGAGCTGTGCGCGCAAAGGGGTCACACCAGTACCTGGACTCCGCAAACCAAACTTACTGTGGCCGTGCGTGTGTATACACACACGAACACGCACACACATGCACACACAGCCAGGCAGCTCTGCATCCACTCATATTCCTTCAGGCCCAGGGACGCAAAGATCTAGCTAATACACCTGAGCATTTGCACGCCCGCACAGGTGGGCACGCACAGTGGGGGGCAACTGGACAGCACAGCGGGCAAGCCCCCTGCAGGAAAGACACGGGACAGAAAAGAGGGAGACATGCCTAGTGGGACAGGGCCACCCCCAGCCCCGGACCCCGGTGCCTGGGTTCTCCTCCCAGCCTTCACCCCTTCTTCGGAAGTGCAGCCCTCATCTGTCAAGAGCTCACACCCTGTTGGGGCTCTCCCTGCACCCAAGCTCTACCAGCATTTATTAAGCACCTGCTTTGCTTCCGGCAGAGCCTACGGCGTTAGAGCTCTGGCAATAGGATCCCTGCCTTCAAACTTAAAACCCAGGAGAGAAGCGGGATAAATGGGCAGACAATGACAGCACTCAGGGACTCTTGCTACGAGAGGCTAGCCCCCGGCAGTGGGGGCACGGAGCGGGGGCATCCGATCCAGTGTGCAGGGGGAGAAGGAAGGCTTTTTGGAGGGAGCCGCGTCCCAGCTGAGGCCTGACGACGAGGAGGAGTTGGCCAAGGAGAGAAGCAGAGCGGAAGAAAGGATGTGCCCAACCCCCGCCCGAGTGGGGTAAATGCTGGAGGGGACGGAATGGGCCCTTGACCATGTGGTGGGACACCCATAAAGTGCTTGCTCTGGAGCCTTCATGCCAGCAGTGAGACCTACTGCACTCCCTCACCCGGACCCAGGAGAGAACTAAAAGCTGGACCCAGCCTCCCCAGCAGGTGCCACAATCAACGTGTATACAGGATGAGGGGGAGGGGGCTCACAAGGAGGACCAAGGAGGAGGGCACTGAGCCCTCCCTCCCACTCTCCTTGCTCAGGCCTTCTGGTTCTACTCAGATCATTCTCCACTGTGGAGGCCTTTACAGACCTGCTCAGTGTCGCTCAGTGGGTTCCGCGGAGCCCTTCCTAGGACCAGGGGTGATACGGACAGAGGCTGAAAAGCAGGACTCTGGAACCTCCTGTTCTCCATCTAACTTATTATCTGCTTACCCTGTTAGACTTCCAAACAGGACCTCATTTGAACAAAGGACTCCAGGTGTGAAGACAGTTAATCCCTAGGACAAAGTCCGAAGTCAGCTTGGCATTCAGAACCCTCCCCAACCTCTCCCTGCCCAGCCTCACTCCTGGGATGCAGCCTCCTGCCCCCCCCCCCCCCAGCCTGCCAGGCCACTGTACTCCTCCTTCCTCAATGCACTCCTCCGCACATACCAGCTCTGTTCTCTGTCCTGTCCAGCCACCCTCCAACTCACCATTTTTATTTTCAAACCTTCCTTGAGTGCCAGCAACATAGCAATAGACACATGATCTCATTTCATCTCCTTTATAAAATTCTGCAAGGTGTAGCCTCATTTTACAAGTGAGGAAACAGAGCTTAAATGATCTGCTCAAGGTCACTGTCACCTTGAGAAAGCTAAGGGAAAGGTCATTCTAGTTCCAACCTTAGCCTCCAGGCACAGGATCCATGCCCCTCTCTTCCCTCCCACCCCACAATGACAGCGGAGCAGGGGGCCTTCTGCCCTCGGTCTTACACCAAGACCACAGCAGAATAAATGGCTTTCTGGGGGTCAGTGGCCAAAAGGAGAGGAAGAGGAAGAAGAGGACCCAGGCATCCTTAGAAGCAGAGAGAAGGGCAGGCAGTCCTGGCTGAGGAGCACGGCGGGCAGGTGGGTCACATGCTCAGAAGTGGAGGCTGTGGCTGGTTACACGTTCAGGTGTGTCTTATCTCCTTCCTTGATGGGGTGGCCTCCTGAGGTCAGCCAGCAGTGCCTTAGGGCAGAAGAACAGGAGAGAAGAGAGCCGAAGCTCTGGGCTCTCGGCCATGCTTCTGAGCTTCTTAGAGCCTCAGTTTTCCCATCTCCTAAAGGAGATGATAGTGTCTGCCCGAGATTGTTGAGAGAATTAAATGTGACTGCACCAGGAGCCTGAACATGGTAGATCTTCCCCAAATGCCGGCAGCTTCCTCCCACCCCAAAATCACGGGGTAGGCTACATGCGAACTGATGGATGGACGTGGCTGGAGGGGGAGAACCACATCTCAGGGTTGCTGGGACTGTAAAGGGCCTCAGGTCTCGGCCTGGCTTGTAGGTGACATGGTGGGGTGAGGGGGCAATAGCTCATTTTTCCTGTTCCTTCCCCACCGGCTTCCTCTCTTGCCCCAGGCAAGTACCAGGCCCCTTAGAGTTGAAGCAGATAAAGATGATCAAGAACATTGGGGCAGCCCTTTCCCAGAGGAGCTCCTCTGGTTAAATGCCTGTTCCCCTGTGTCAGGCTGTTCCTCTGCTCCCCCCACAGATCACCAGGAACGGGACCCGGGATCCCCATCACCAACACAGACAGCGATCTGACCCACATTGATCAGCTGGGGCCCCCATTGATCAGCTTCTTTGGCAAAGAAACCAGCTCGGCCAGCAGCCAGTGGGCACCCAGGTGGGGGCCGCAGCCTCAGTCTACTGCCTCACCGCCACACAGATCCCTGAAGGGTTGAGGGCACCGAGTAGGCAGGAGTGTGTAGGGAAGGGGAAGGAAAGCAAGGAGGGGTGGGGGAGTGGAGGGGCGGGCAGGTCAACCTCAAGCCCAACTGGTTTCACCCACCCCCCCACCCCAGCCCAGCGAGTTTTCTTAGTGTTGAGAAAATGGTCAGCAGCTTGTCACAGTCCACTGACTCCAAACAGCTCTCTGGAAACATTGTTGAATTTAAATCCAAACACAGAGATAGCCACGTACATGCGTGTCACTCCTCCTGCCCCTTCCCCAAACACAAACATAGTTATCTCATGGCGACACACACACTGTGTGATTCAATTCCATCCAAAAGCATTTATTGAGTGCTTAGATGTGCCAGGCGCTGCAATGACAAACAGCTTCAAGCCCTGAAGGAGCATTAAGCGGAGGGACAAATGTGGAAAGAGGTCATGAGAGGGCAGGGGAACAGGTGCACTTACAGGAGTATAAGCCAGGTACAGAGGAAACAGCAATTAACTCCAGGGTCAAAGGAGGGCACTTTCTCAGCAGGGTTTTTAAGGATGAATAGGAGTTTGCCAAGTAGACAGAAAGGCAAAGAGATCAGCATGATTGCCCGCCTCCTGCCATCTCTGGCCACACATTGCACTTCTCATCATTTTGCTGACTACGCACTTTCCGTTAGGAGTTTCTGTTACCCCAGCACTCTTTGTGCTGTTCCAATGGCCTGAAATGTTCTTCCTCTCCTTCCCATGACTATTCTTTATTCAACCTTCGAGCCTTGCCTTAAAGAACTATCCCTTCCTCTGTGAGAGCTACAGCCCCCTTCTAGATGCTGCCATAGTATCCTATGTCTCCCCTTTCCTAGTTCTCTACACACTGTGTTCACTTGTTCGCTCCATGAGGGCAAGGACTTGTGGTCCCAATAGCATCAGAGATGGTGCCTGATACATTTCAGGAGCTCGCTGGATGGGTGGGTGGATTGATCATATGGATGGATGGATGGATGGATGGATGGATGGATGGATGGACAGATGGACGGACAGATGACTTGTTCCAGGAGCTACAAGTAAATGAGAATGTAGGGCTGCAGAGGTGTGTAGAGTACAAGGGGTGAGGTGGGGGGTGGGGGGAATCGTGGGAGATGGAAGGGAAGAGGCTGACGGGAGTGGGAATGTGGAAGACCTTGTGGCCCATGCCTACTGCACATCGGCATACGGAGTGAATTCTAGAACATTATCAGTACAAGACCCCTTTGAGATAATATAGTCCTAACCTCCACTTGACAAATGAGGAAGCTGAGGTCCAGAGAAGCAGGGCTTACTCCAAACCACCCGGAGGATAAATCAATGGCTCTGCTGGGGTTATACCTCCAGGCATGATCTCCTGGTCCAGGGCACACTCGGTCTTCTATACGCCTGGAGGGGTCAAGAGGTGATGAGACCACCTCACTCTGGCCACTGCTAAAGGACATGTACTGAGTTCAGGCACACACAGCCCCCAGACCCATCGGAGCAAGCGGCTGAAACCCAACTGCGTCTCACTTAATCCCAAAGGGCAGGTGAATGTCCTGTGTCACTCGGCGGGGCAGGTCCGGCTGCCTCCGTATGTCGCTGGTTTCCGGCACTCAAGCAGTCTCACCGAGCCCTTCCCCACCACCTAGCTCTAGGTGCCGACCACATGCTCACCTCCTCCTGGCAGGCCTCCTCCACGTCAGGTGGGGGTGGGGTGGGTGGAAAGGGCTAGGCGCAGCCCACGGAACTGGTGAGGGAAGGAGGGGGAACCTGGCCTCTCTCCGCATCTGTATGGAAAATCCCAGCTCGATGTTCTGATGGTTCCCGCTCAGGTCTGATCCCTGGGGTCTGAAGGCTGGGGCAGTATGGCTGAGTAGGTCTGGACCTCCCATCCATGCTGGGGAACAGGAGAGGGCCCGGCACAGGCCTGACAGCTCATCAAGTGACGTGGAAAGGAGGGGGCCGTACTCCAAAGGCAAGGGGTGCTATTACCACAGAACAGGGAAGGGATGCTGAGCAGTCGAAACTGACAGATGGCCACAGCAGGACGACCACAGGACCAGACAGCTGGGGCCTATTGGAAAGAGTACTTAGAAATAATAATAACAACGACAAGAGTAATAATAGTTCCGAGTGTGCCATGCAAGTACTCTGCATACATTGTCTCATTTACACCTAGAATCAGAAGACTCAGGTTTGAGTCCCAACTCTGCGATTTACCAGCCCAGGGGCCCATCGCTGAACCCTCTGACCCTGTTTCCCCATCTCTAAATGGGGAAGAACATAGCCCCTCTTCCAGAAGCTGTTGGGGGCTTCTCTGTCAACTGGGAACCACAGAGAGGTAGGAGAAGTTCTCGGTCCTGTTTGTGCACTGATTCCAAGTGGAAACAAGGAACAGGGAGATGCTTGGAGCGAACCAGAAGGTGTTCAAGGCCAAGGAAGCAGCAGGCTGGCTTCCAGGCTGACTTGGCAGCAGGAACAGGCCCGCCCAGGGCACAGGAAGCCCTGTTCTGGGACCCCCCTTGGCCTGGCCACTCTCCCCGCCCCCCCTCCGGAAAAGGGGGTGAAAAGAGGAGTTAATGGATTACAGAGCCAGGCAGGAAGAAGAGAGGATTTTTCATCTTAAAATGTTCTGAAATAATTCATATTTGCTTTGCAGGACGGCATTGTGTGCTTGTCAGCCCTGTAATAACTTCTGGGCCTTTATTTATTGTTTTGCCTTAATGATTTCGTGTTGCTCTGGTGTGGAGAATTTTCAGTGTCTTGTAACACATAATGGCAGAGAAGGCCCAGGACTGGGCAGGCTCTGGTGGGAGGGGGTCACACTTCCCGCCCCCTCCCCCAGCTCATACCCCTCCCCCTGGAGATGGCAGAGCCTCGTGCAGGAGACAGCAGAGGTCAAGCTCTGTGGAAGGTGCTTTATCTGGGAGGGCCAATTCTCAAACACCCTTTGGAGCTGATCCCGTAATCCCATTTTACAGAAGTGAAAACTGAGCTTTGGAGAGATTGCAAGACTTGCCATCTGACTTTGCGTGAGCAAACTAGGATTTATACACAGGGCTGGGGCGCCTGGCCGGCTCAGTCTGGGGGGCGTGCGACTCGATCTCGGCGTTGTCAGTTTGAGCCCCACGTTGAATGTAGAGATTACTTAAAAATAAAATCTTTAAAAATAATAATAATAAAATAAACAGAGGTCCATTGTATTCCAGCCTTTTGGATACTGGTGGGTCTTCCACTGCGGGATGTGTAGGTATCGCCTGGGGAGAATTTCTAAAATACAGGTTCCGAGGACCCAGCTCTGGAGATTGGGCTTGAGTAGATCTCACATGGTGCTGGAGGCTCTTTACTTACCCAGCTGCCCAGATGAATCGCAGCCATGTTGGGGGAACTCAACTGGTGGCCGAGGCCACACTCGTCACACACTTGGCCCCTGTTCCTCAAGAGTTGTGGTCCCACATTGGCCAGCTCTCTCACAAACATTCCCATCATCCACTCCTGTCTGCCTGTCATTCACCATCCTGTAGCCCTGAGAGCTTGGACTCCCCACCAGACCTCTAGCCCCTTCAGTGAAGCCAGGAAAGGAAGGGGAGGGGAGGGAGGAGAGGCTTTCTTGGTTGCCATGGTGATTCTCCACCTCCCAGTCTGTGGGGGGAGGTAGTTTCATTGTGAGCCTCCAGCCAAGGCCTGGAGGGAAGCAAGCTGTCCCGGGCAGAGGGGAGGCAGAGGGGTGGGAAGAAGAATCTAGTCGCTGGGGAGAGAGGAAGAGGGGAGGAGGGATGGGGAGCAGGGTTGGGGACCCTGGGCGCAGGGCAGAGGGAGCAGAGAGCCAGCCCCTCCTGATGCTGGGGCCGCCAGCCTTCGGCCAGGGGGCGGGGCGGGGTGGGTGTGGGAGCCGAGGGCGACAGGGCCTGATGCTTCCTGAGCCCAGAGCTGGCAGAGGCCCCCGGGCAGGTGGTGGCAGAGATGCAAGGATGGACGAGACAGCCAGAGACTGGCACAGACCCGAGTCAGAGCCCCAGGGCTGGGAAAGACCAGGGCTCTGAAAGCAAAGAGGGGATATGGGAAGATAAGGCAAAGCGGCAGAACGCTTCGCAGACCGCGGGCTGCAGCCCACTCCCGCCCCTGGCCGGGCCAGGGCTGGCACAGCCTGCGATCCCAGCCTGCTGGGCTGGGCCGGGCTGGGCCGGGCTGGGCTGGCAAGCCGGATGGCACAGGCTGTGGCAAAGGCAGATGGAGCGAGGAGGGGGCCTGACCCCCAGCCCACCAGGGAATAGCTGGGATTGTCTGTTCTTTGGAGCTGTCCCTCTGCCCCACCCCCAAACCTCCCGCCTCTGGGAGCATGGCTAGGGACACGGGAAAGAAAGGAGCCACCTTTCAGAGCCGGCGTCCCCACCTCCTCCTGTTCCCTTTGGCTTTCTTCCCCCGCCTATGGCACGCACTGCCTGCTCCCAGCCTGGCTCTGGCAAAGACCAGGATGCCGTGGGGTGTGGGGTGCGGAGGGAGCACAATGGGGCGGAGAGGGAGGAGGAGCGACAGAAGCTGGGAGATGAGGAGAGAGGCCCGGTGGGTGCTACGCCCCTCACCACCGTGTGTCCGGCCCGCTTTTGCTTTGTGCCCGGCTCCACGGAGCGCTTTACCTGTGTTCACTCAGTCCTCGCGACGGTCCTGGTGAGCCACGCTGTTGCTCTCGGCCCCATCTTACAGATGAGCAACTGAGGCAGAGACAGGTGGAGGGGCCGACCACCCCAAGTTCACGAGCTGGGCATCGGCCGAGGGAGGGTTCAACCCAGGAGAGGTTCAAGTTCATGCTTCGCCCCCTCACCCTACCGCCTTTTACCCCTCCCCCACATTTTTAGTCTTTACATGGCTTTTTCCTTTTGGCCCTATCTTTTCTCATCATCTCTCTACCCAGCCTTTCTTCCCTCTGACGGCGCATTCTCACCGACCCAGGTCACCACGCTGACACTACCGTATGAATGGCCCTATGCAGACACGTCCACGTGTGCATACGTGGACAGTCACATGGACACTCACCGGCATGACCACTGGGGAGTCCACAGGCATGGGAGCGGATGTGCACGCCGCTCGCGATAAGCACACACGTCCATGTCTGTGTGCGCAGGCACAGTCCGTTCACACGTGTATCCATCATATACACCACACCCTGGGTAGGTCTCGCGTGTTCTCACCAACAGAGCGTTCACTGTGGCAAAATAATCCCAAACAATGGTTGAGCCAAAAAAAATCTGTTTGGCTTTGCAATAAAGAGCTGCTTGGCATATGGGGTTTTTGGCAATACATTTACCTTTCTAGGTTTAGCTTGGGCTGATGTGACTTCCTGAATATCTGTGGCTTGGCAGGCCCGGGTTCTGGGTAATCAGCCCTGGAGAACCTGCCAGATGCCGGGCCCACAGCAAGGCACCTACCGGCCGCTCTTCTCCATCCTCAGGGCGACACGTGAGGCAGGTCTGGCCGTTCCCCTATCATAGGTGATGTCCCTGACACTCAGGGACTTGCCATTTGTGTGGTCACATAGCGAGAGGGAGGACTCGAACCCCAGGTCGGCCCGAGGGTTTGTAAAGCTTGAGTGCCTGCAGGTGGGGTGGTGAGCCAGACATGTGACTTCCCAGGCGTGCCTCATCCGTCTGGAATGTGGCTGCCTCACCGTCTGGTCACGTCTGGGCCCCTCTTCTGCGGCCCAGGCTGGTGGGCGTGGATGGGCTGCCGTGGGCTCGTGCTGAGCCCTTCTCCAGAAGGCCCCACACAGGCTGTGCACAAGTAGGCCTGCGAAAGTCTTTTCCCCGCTGACGAGGAGGCTGATAATGATGGCTCAGATGATACAAAGACCAGACAGACTTACCCACCACTGGACTCAGGCCTATGCATTCCTTTAGCATTTCTCGAATACCTATTATGTGTCTGACATTTCCCGGGGCTCTGAGCACAATATAAACAGGAATCAAACTTGAACTCTGCCTTCCTTCCAATAGCTTAGGAGAACAGTTTTTAGGTGTGGAAACAGCTTTACTATAGGCTTCTTTACTAAAGAAACCTACGTGCTGTAAGAGAGCTGCAGATAAAAAGTGAGAGACCACTTCCAGCTTGAAGCATCAAGGACGCCCTCCTGGAGGAAGAGGTGTGTGATGAGTCTTAAAGAGTGGGGATGACTTGTGGCAGCGGAGGAGAGCGGTTCTCGATTTCCCAAGAAGCACAGTCCAAGGCACAGCCAGGACATTGGCAGGGGGAGAGCAAGTAGCTCCATTTTTCTGTGGTAAAGACCATGAGAAAAGAGTGGTGGGGTGGACTGGGGTCAGATGACAGGAGATCCTGAGACCCAGGACGGGGAGTTTGGACTTAATAGGGAGCCGTCAAAGATTATTGAGGGGTGGGGAGGAAGGCCTCAGGAACTAGGTTCATTTAGGAAAGCGAAACTGCAATCGTGAGCAAAGTAAATTGGAATCATCCACGTATGCATTCATACACGGACATAGACATCCCGGGAGATGTGCACATATGTGTGTACGCAAGTGGACGGGCCCAAAATCACACGATTAATTCCTGAGCCCAGCTCCTTTTATTATTTTTTTAAGATTTTATTTATTTGAGAGAGAGACAGAGATAGCGACAGAGATAGCAAGAGAGAGGAGGAGAGGGAGAGACAGGCTCCCCACTGAGCAGGGAGCCCGACGTGGGGCTTGATCCCAGGACCCTGGGATCATGACCTGGGCTGAAGGCGCACGCTTAACCAACTGAGCCACCCAGGCGCCCCCCAGCTCCTTTTAAATTGTGAATTGTATTTGTTTATTTGAATAGGTAGTACATTCACATTACCTACAATTCAAAGGAATCTAAGGGAATACACTGAAAAGTAAAGCTACTCCCAACACCATCCTCCACAACCCTAGTTCCTCTACCGAGAAGCAAGCACAGTGGTCGCTTTGGGACCTTCCTTCCAGAGATGTTCTTACCTAGACAAGCAAATATCTAGACGAGCTCTTATTACACACATTTTTCTGCACCCTGCTTTTCTCACTTAATAAGATTAACATCTTGGCGGTCCTTATACATCGGTACATGGAGAGCTGCCCTGATCTTCTTCTTCTTCTTCTTCTTTTTTTTTTTTAAGATTTTTATTTATTTATTTGGCAGAGAGAGAGAACACAACAGGGGGAGTGGCAGACAGAGGGAGAAGGAGAAGCAGACCCCCGCTGAGCAGAGAGCTGACATGGGGCTCCATCTCAGGACCCTGGGATCATGACCTGAGCTGAAATCAAGAGTCAGTCGCTTAATGGGCTGAGCCACCCAGGCGCCCCTGCCCTGATCTTCTTAACACCAGTATACTATTCCATGATAGTTGGACACCTACATTATTTCTGGGTTTGGGCTCTTACCAAAAATTTTACAATAAATAACCTTGAATATGTGTCATTTTCCATTTTCATTCATTCATCCAGTAGACATTCTTTGAGTACCTACTATGTCCTGAGCAGCAATCCAGGTGGCAGAGAGAGAGCAGTGAACAAAACAAGCAAAAGTTTCCGCCCTCGTTCAGCACAGCTTCCGAAGTGCATGTGTAAGTCAGTCTGTAGGATACATTCCTAGAGGTGGAATCCCGAATCAAAATGTCTCTGCATGTTTAAATTTTAGTAGATAAAGCCACATTTCCCCCCTAGAGAGGTGTCCCAGTTTAGCCCTGCAGTGTAGGAGAGTGTCTGTTTCCTCACCCTTTACCAGCAAAATATTATCACACTTTTTTATCTTTGCCAGTGTAATGTGACAGGTGAAAAATTTGCATTTCTCTTATGATGAATGAAGTTAAACATCTTTTCATACATTTAGGAACAATTTTCAGGTCCTTTTCTGTCAATTTCCTGCTATCCTTTGCTCCTATTTCTTTTAGGTTGTAGATCTTTCTCATATTGATTTGTGGATTCTCTTTATCTATTAAGGTAATTAGCCTATGATATGAGTTACAAATAATTTTTCCCTAGTTTGTCATTTGTGTTTATAGTAGTGTTTTTTGGGTAGACTTTTTTTCCTTTTTTGAGAGAGTGTGTGCAAGCAGGAGGAGGGGCAGAGAGAGAGGGAGAAAGAGAATCCCAAGCAGGCTCCATGCTCAGCACAGAGCCTGACTCGGGGCTCGATCTCTTGACCCCAAGATTATAACCTGAGCTGAAGTCAAGAGTCGGACACAACCGACTGAGCTACCCAGATGCCCCTTGGCAGACTTTTTTTAAAATGTAAAATAGAATTTAAGAACAATTTTGCTCATTCCCAGCTTTGTCTCCCATGGTGAAATGTTTGCTAGGGTTGAGCTATGGGTCCCAAAAAATTGATCTTGGATTCCAACCTGGATTCTTTTTTTTTTTTTTAAGATTTTATTTATTTATTTGACAGAGAGAGAGACAGCAAGAGAGGGAACACAAACAGGGGGAGTGGAAGAGAGAAGCAGGCTCCCCGCCGAGCAGAGAGCCTGACATGGGGCTCGATCCCAGGACCCTGGGATCATGACCTGAGCCGAAGGCAGACACTTAACGACTGAGCCAACCAGGTGTCCATCCAACCTGGATTCTTAATAGAAGTACAGGTTCTAGGCAAAGGAAGGTGATAGTCTTATCCTGCTCTGATGCCCCATCTCAAGAGGTCTTTGGACAAAGGGAAACAAGTGCGGAGGAGGGTAACAAAGAGGGTGAATAGGCTTGAAATTAAGTCACATGAGGGATGGTGATGGGACTGTGTCTTGGGGCCTGAAGCAGATCATCATCTATGAATATCATCTTGGGTCGTGGGCCTGGCCACATGATGCAGAATCAGGCCCTGTAAAGGAATCTCTGGGCAGCCAAGTGTCAGATACTGGGGCTCTCGTTTAAGGCAGAGCTGTCTGAAAATAGAATGGCCTACATTGTGAGGAAGGGAGCTTCTTGGCATTAGAGATGTACAAACCAGAACTGGATGACCACCTACCGGAGATGCCAGGGGTTAAATCAGATGTCTGTCAAAACTTCTTCTAATCCTAAGAGCCCATAATTCTCCACACCACAAGGAATCTTAAAATTCCCATTTTACAGGTGAAAAAAGGGAGGTGGGAAACTAACATGCAGTGAGCACTGGCTTTGTCTCGGGCACTTTGACACATACAACCTGATTTTAAAGGATAAGGACCAGAGAGGTTGAGTGATTCACTTATGGCTACACAGCAATCTAGTGGCGGAGCCCCAACTGGAACGCAGTTCCCCAGTTTCCAAATCAGAGCTCTCTCTGCTGAACCATCTGTTCCTGTTCAATAACTAAACACATGTTTATTGCATGTCTATTGCTTACCTCCTCTGAACTGACACTAATGTGGCCAATGAGAGCACACTATATGCAGGCTATTAGCAAAGGCATGGGATCTTTGCCCCGCTAACGGTCACTGCTTCGTGGGCAAGTACAGGCACCATCTCTGCCTTACCTGGCTCAATGTGAATGACGCCCTCTGGAGTTGTGTGACGTGGTAGCCCTAAGTAGCCCTATATGAAATATGAGACAATTTGTAAGTGCAGTAATAAAAATGTACACAAAGTGCTATGGGAATACAGAAGGAATGATTTCTTCTACCAGGGAAAGAATTCAGGAAAGCTGCCCAGAGGAGGTGGTATTTGAGCAGGACCTTGAAGGATATGTAAAAGAACAAAGCAAACAGAGAATAATCTCTATATCCATTCCACACACATTTATTGAGCAGCTCCAGGTTGCCAGGAAGAGATGAGTAATTCACAGTCCAGTAGTAGAGACAGACAACTCACCAATAAATTGCCATAGAGTATAAGTACCATAGCAGAAACACGCTCACGGTACAAAAGCAAAGATAGCCCCTTCTGAAATAAAGTTGGGGGGGTGGTGATGCTCTGGGAAGGCTCCTGGAGAAGCGAGGACTGAAATTGCAGGAAGGGAAACAGAAAACTTCCAAGCTGGGGCACCTGGGTGGCCCTGATTTCGGCTCAGGTCATGATCTCAGGGTCGTGAGATCGAGCCCAGCGTCAGGCTCCACACTTGATTCTTTCTCTCTCTGCTCCTCCCCCCAGCTTGAGCGTGCACACATGCTCTCTCTCTCTCTAAAAAAAAAAAAGAAAAGGAAGAAAGAAAGAAATTTTTCAGGCTGATGATAAGGGAGTTGGGAGAGAGGGAAAGGTGTTCCAAGCGAAGGGAATGGCATATGCAAAGTTTCTGAGTCTTGGAAGATCTTCCTGTCTTCAGATACCCAAAACAGATCAGAAGGGCTTGAGTGCAAAATGCCGGGGTGGTGGGCAGCCAGGCAGGAGGTGGAATTGACATCCAGGCTTTTAGGCAGGACCTACCAGGTTTCCAGATGAATGGGGTGTTGGTGTGCACAGGATTTAGCAGGCTTAGCAACCTTCTTTCCCAAAGCCGTGCCCCCGATTGAGAGCTGGAAGAGAAAAGTGTGAGCCATAAATCCCCACCTCCTCCTGCTGTGCCCAGCGCTGCAGAGCCGGGAGTCTCCATGGCTCTCCAGTCCCACCGCTGCGACCCCGGCTAATCCAGCCTCCTGGCCCATCTGACACACACTTCCACTTAACATTTTGTTAGCGACTCTATAAACGAGCTCTCCCTGACCTTCAATCCCTGGCTAATTGCTGGTTTCATGTACAAGACTAGCTTAATTTTACGTGATAATTACCTGAGAGTGGTAATACATATGGCATTGCATGTTGGAAATGTCAGGCCTGGGAAACTACCAAGTGGCCATAGTCGGGGGCAAAAGGAGAAGGCAGCTGGGTGGCGGGGGCCTTGGAGAGGC